AGGTAACATTTTTTCCAAGCTTCTATTGTCCGATTTTGGTAACCTTGTGCGAATTGTAGCCTCCATTTCCTGTTCTTAGCTGACAGGAGTGGCAGCTGGTGTGGTCTTCTGCTGCTGTAGCCCATCTGCTAAGTTCAACGTATTGTGCGTTCGGAGATGGTTTCTGCATACCTTGGTTATAACGAGTGATTATGTGAGTTATTATTGCCTTTCTATCATTTTGATTCAGTCTGCCCATTCTCCTCTGACCTCATTAAGGCATTTTTGTCCACACAACGGCCGCTCACTGGATATTTTCTCTTTTTCGGACCATTCTCTGTAAACCCTAGAGATGGGTTGTGCGTGAAAATCCCAGTAGATCATCAGTTTTTGAAATACTCAGACCAGCCATCTGGCACCAACAACCATGCCACGTTCAAAGTTACTTAAATCCCCTTTCTTCCACATTCTAAATCTTGGTTTGAACTTCAGCAAGCCTTCTTCACCATGTCAAATGCATTGAGTTGCTGCCATGTGATTGGCTGATTGGAAATTTTCTTTACCAAGCCATTGAACAGGTGTACTAATAAAGAGGCCAGTGAATTTAGTTTACATAAGAGAGATAACATTGTTTGTGCTTCCAGTTCAGTTCACAGGAAAGGAATACTTTTTCTGGCAAGATCAATGGATGTTTTCTGAAAATGTTCTTAGCCTGGAAAATGGAAGCAAGTTCAGCTGCCATATCCGCAGACTAGTAAGCTGCAATATAATGTATATATATATTAAAAAATGAGAGATGGGTTGCAGGACAGAGGATGTTATTTATTGCTCACAGATAAATAACTTGGTGCTTATCTAGCAGCAATAAATCACTCTCTGTGCTGCAACCCATCTTTCATTTTTTAATATATATACATTATATTGCAGCTTACTAGTCTGTGGATATGGCAGCTGCACTTTTGTTTATTGTTGGTGGTTTGGTGGGACTACAGCAGGTTGTGTGTACTGACTTTCTGCATGTCATAGTGGTGCTGTCTACTTTACTACATATATATATATATATATATATATATATAGTTATTATTTTTTTATATTATTATATATATTTTTTTTTTTTTGGAGGGGGGCTGCAGTGGTTATATATGCTTGTGTTAAAGCTCAACTCCAGGCAAAAAGCTAAATATGCAGATGTAGTACATAAAAGAGCCTTGGTTTACCTTCCAGACAAATTATCTCTGTCCATCCATTTCACAGATACACACAGCTCTGACACACTTCTCTGCCCGAAGGAGCCCTGTTTTTTTTTTTATCTGTTGCAGTTGTTACGCTTACAGGTCTTGTCCCACCACCAGCCTGTGAAGAAGGAGCAGCATACTAATAAGTCAAACTCTCTGCAAATGTATTCTCTCCGTAGCACATGAATACAGCAGCACACCTTACTGGATCCTTGTGCTGTTTTCCCCTCTCCCATTCTGAGCTCTGCTGTACAGGGACTGCAAGAGGCCGAAACCAGGTAATTAAGGTACTTATATAGCTTGCATTTAAAAAATACTTTTAACAACATATTCATGAATACAGAGCTGCAATAGTTTATTTTCTAATTTGCTTGGAGCTCAACTTTAAATAAGCCTCATCGTCTCAACTTTAATTTTTTTGCCTACATTAATGGAGATCTGATTGCATGTCATGGGCAATATTGTTGTTTTTTCATGTATATTAGTTTTTCAGAATAAGCTCCAGCGTGTTTTACCAAATGTATTCTTTAAATGAAGATACAGTGCCAGGAATACATTGTTTGAAGGTCCATGGATGTCTATATAAGATATATAAACCTCTATATATGTAAAACACATTATACACTGTATGATGCAGACCTAAATACCAAAAACGGCACCAACTATGTATTATATTGCTTTATATTTGTATCTATTTGTAATTTATATTTCACAAAAATTTGGTGGCGATTGAGCCATGATGGTGAATAAAATTAATATATATCATTAAAAGTGTGAGAATTTTTTTGTTTGAGATAAAGGGGTTGATTTACTAAAGAAAAATAGACTGTGCACTTTGCAAAGTGGAGTTGCACTCTGCAAGAGCAGTTGCTCCAGAGCTTAGCAAAATTAATTAAAGCTTCACTTTGCAAAAAATACCCAATCACATCTAAGGACAATAAAAAAAAGGTGTTTTTGCTTGCACATGATTGGCTGATGGAAGTCAGCAGAGTTTCTGCTTATTTACTAAGTTCTGATGCAATTGCTCTTGCAGAGTGCAACTGCACTTTGCAAGTGCACAGTCTATTTGCCTTTAGTAAATCAACCCCAGAAAAAACAGAATTTTTGCTTGAGTGTGATTGGATGATGGAAGTCAGCAGAGCTTCTGCTCATTTACTAAGTTCTGAGGCAACTGCACTTTGCAAAGTGCACAGTCTATTTGCCTTTAGTAAATCAAGCACAGAGAAAACAGTATTTTTGCTTGCACATGATTGGATGATGGAAGCCAGCAGAGCTTCTGCTCATTTCCTAAGCTCTGGAGCGAATGCTCTTGCAGAGTGCAACTGTTCTTGCAGAGTGCACAGTCTATTTGCCTTTAGTAAATCAACCCAAATGACAGTACTGTATTGAGGAAGAAACAGGTTTGAAGGGCCTCGCAACAGCACAGAACTTTTGAAGTCTTCTAGTCTCCTATAGTAACACTTACCTTCTATAAAGACCACACCAGGCCTCCCATTTTCCTTAGCAGGGCCGCTGATAAGGCGGTACCGCCCAGAGGCGGACTGACAACTCATGGGGTCCCTGAGCAATAGGGGATCATGGGGCCCCTGTGTCCTTGCCCAAACTCAAAAAACCTATAAAAAAGGTACCAGGGGCATCTCATGGGGCCCCCTACTGACCCCGGGCCCTCGGCAGTGCCCGAGTTTCCAAATGGTCAGTCCGCCCCTGGTACCACCCATCCTGTTGTACCAGGCCCGGCTCCATCAGCTCAACAGAGGGGCCTGGGCAGCTTTACAGTTCATTTGTGTAAAATGAAAAATAGGGCTTTCTAAGTTACACCCCTGCTCCTACTTACTTAGGGGATTGTGTAACTACATTTTTTCCTGGACCCCTCTGTTGATTGATGGTCCTATGGTGGGAGCTTGTCTATTCATTTTCAGGCACATGCACATACAATTTTACGTCCATCCTGTCCCGCCCTGTCCCGCCCCCTCCATTTTCAGGCACATGCACATACAATTTTGCGGCCATCCTGTCCCGGCTGCCCTTCTCCCTCCATTATCAGGCACATGCACAAGAAAATTTATTTTGGGAAAACCAGTTTGTGTCCGCTCAGTTTATGCAGAGCGGACACGGCCCACTCTACTCCATGGGTAGCTGGTGTAAACAAATCGGTTGTGCGTCTACACCTGACTACCCTGCAATCCAATCTGCTAGACGGAAGGGGAACAGATCCCTTTCCTTTTTTTTTTGTAGCAGATTGGTTCAGATTGAAGGTAGGTGGGTGTAAATGGGCACAAGTCCCCAGTGCCAAACATTTTATAAGGTTTTATTGCTGGTCCACGTACACTTCAGTGATCAATTGCAGTGTGGTAATGTGCATTACGACATGCACTGACATGCATTGCATTAATCACTTCCTGACCACCCTAAAGCAGAAATACTGCTACAAGGCAGCAGGGCTGCGCAAAATCATGTATGTATACGTGCTCTTGCATTTTTGGGTAGGGGGTGTGTGTGCACGCCTCCCTACCCGCGCTGCCATTGGTGGCTACAGCTGTCGATCACCGGGTCCCAGATGGAGATTCCTCGCTGGCATCCGGTGAACACCGAAGAACACTGACAGGGGAGAGGCCTGTATGTAAACCATACAGATCTCTCCCCTGTCAGCACCAGCATGCTGCATTGTATTGCTCTGCATAGCAGAGCAATACAAAGCAGCATGCTTACATAGTAAAACACACACACAGACCACATAGCAAAACAGCACACAGTTAACCCTTTGATCGCCCCAAATGGTAACCCCTTCCTGCCCAGTGTTACTAGTACCGTGTCAGTGCTTTTACTGATCACTGTATTAGTGACACTGAGGATGTCAGTGTCAGTCCCCCCCCCCCCAGTTTCAGAATGCTTGCTGCAGTCCAGCTAAGCAACGCAATTACTAGTATAAGGAAAAAAAAAATTCCAGTATATATACCGCCATTTGTAGACGCTATAACTTTCACGTAAACCAATTAATTTACACGTATTGCAATTTTGTTTAGCAAAAACAGGTAGTAGAATTCATTTTGGCCTCAATTTATGACGAAATGTGATTTTATTTTACATTTTTTTACTGGATATGTTTTATGGTAAAAAAAAATATTGTCAGAAATAGTCAATAATATTGTTTTTTTAAAATTGTCTGTCTTTTTTGGTTTATAGCACAAAAAATAAAAAACACAGTGATCATATACCCCTGAAAGAAAGCTCCATTTGTTCGAAAAAAAGGACATAAATGTAATCTGGGTGCAGCATTGCATGACCGAGCAAGTGTCAGTTAAAGTAACGCAGCGCCATATCGCAAAAAAAAATGGCGTGGTCATGAAGGGGGGTAAATCCTCTGAAGGGCAAGTGGGAAGCCCACTCATCATGAATTGGCTGTCACTGCACCATAACTGATGAAAAGAAGACTTTTTTAGCAATGCAGTGCATGTTATTCACAGTGTGTGTGTTAGGGTGCACAGTGGTGCGTTGTGTGTTGCACTTCACTGCAAAGTGTGTTTGGCTTCCATTCACAATAAATGTCATAGCCAGGGGCGGACTGACCATTTGGAAACTCGGGCACTGCCCGAGGGCCCAGGGTCAGTAGGGGGCCCCATGAGATGCCCCTGGTACCTTTTTCATAGGCTTTTTTGAGTTTCGGCAAGGACACAGGGGCCCCATGATCCTCTATTGCGTGGGGGCCCCATGAGTTGTCAGTCCGCCCCTGGTCATAGCAACACACATAGAGCAGATGTGTTTTCATGCATTGCAGCAATGTGTGGTAATCAGGGGCGGACTGACCATTTGGAAACTCGGGCACTGCCCAAGGGCCCGGGGCCAGTAGGGCGCCCCATGAGATGCCCCTGGTACCTTTTTCATAGGCTTTTTTGAGTTTGGGCAAGGACACAGGGGCCCCATGATCCCCTATTGCCCGGGGGCCCCATGAGTTGTCAGTCCGCCCCTGGTCATAGCAACATACATAGAGCAGATGTGTTTTCATGCATTGCAGCAATGTGTGGTAATCAGGGGCGGACTGACCATTTGGAAACTCTGGCACTGCCCAAGGGCCCAGGACCAGTAGGGGGCCCCATGAGATGCCCCTGGTACCTTTTTCATAGGCTTTTTTTGAGTTTGGGCAAGGACACAGGGGCCCCATGATCCCCTATTACCCGGGGACCCCATGAGTTGTCAGTCCGCCCCTGGTGTTAATCACGCATTTCCACAATGCACAAGCACAAAGGGGTCATACAGAGCATCATACGCATCTATACCATTGCGGGTGGGTCCATGTTTGCCAAGTGCACATCCATCTCATTACTGCTTATAAGTAATCCAAAAGAACACGGATGATGGCACACAAGCATACATTGCATAAATTCAATTTATTGCATTAAGAGTGGTACAGATGGAAAGGCTGACAAGCCTCCTACACATTTCACGCTAAATTGCACTTCATCACTGAGTAAGCACTGTTTAGCATGAAACACATAAGAGACTCGTCAGCGTTTCCACCTGTACCACTTTAAATGCAGTAAATTGACTTTATGCAGCTCATGCTGGTGTGCCATCACTCACATTCTCTTGGATTACTTTAATTGCAGAGCTTTCATTAGAGGGTGAGGGATATAGAATAACCAAAGAAACATCATCTTAAAACAGAACTACATGGCATCTGAGCTCCACAAACCCAAAATGCTATTTATTTCATTTTTAGTATTCAAGGCAAACTCACCTATCCATAAATGTCTCCATGCTTTATTTTGCTGATTAATCACTTGAAAAACATAGTTACATATAGTTACATAATTAGTCTGGCTGAAAAAAGACAAAAGTCCATCCAGTTCAACCTTAAAAAAAACCCATTATACTCCTTCACCCACAGTTGATCCAGAGGAAGGCAAAAAAACTCAGCAAAGCATGATCCAATTTGCTCCTGCAGGGGAAAACGTTCCTTCCTGATCCCCCAAAAGGCAATCAGATATTCCCTGGATCACCTTTCCCTATAAATGTTATATCCAGTTATATTCTGTGTATCAAAGAAACAATCCAGGACTTTTTTAAAGCAATCCACGGAGCTGGCTAGAACCATCTCTTGAGGGACTCTATTCCACATTATCGCAGCTCTTACTATAGCTCTTAGAACACCCTATAGCATTTCTGGCTGTGGCCATCTTGAGTAAGGGCAGATGATTCATGTAGCATTTACTTCCTGGAATCCATCTGCAGCTCAGGAATACAAGTAGGAGTATGAGCTTAGCTGAGAAAATCCCTCCTCCCCTCCTGAATTGTCCTGGATGTATGACAATCTTTACCTTGGTCTGGAAACCAGGAGGTAACTAAAGAAAGGTAACTTGCTGCCTGCCTGCCAAAAATGTACTTTTCTACAGGCTAAGCAATGTACTGGTACATCACTTAGTACATGTACACTGACGGGTCCCTATCCATGACCGCTGTGTCCAGTGGACACAACGGATCACAGTGCTCAGTAACCTCTTCACGCCGGCCGAACGCAAATGTGTGGCCTCCCGGCATCTGGGCCTAGATGGCGAGCGGCCGCACATTTGCGTTCTAATAAAAAAGAACACGTGCTGAGGCACGCGCCATGCGCGCTCCCAGCACACATGTCCGGTACTCACAGAAAGGTCCCGATCTCCTCTTTTGATCGGGACCTTTCCCGATCATATGACCCTAAACCCCGCCCCGCCTCCTGGCTTCTGAAACCCTTAAAGGGCCAGGAGGCGCCGGCGCCCAGGGGTTAAACAGCCACTTTGATCATGGTTTGTAAACTCTATAACTTTCACACACACTACATAATATACACCGATTTGGGTTATTTTTACCAAAGAAATGTAGCAGAATACGTTTTGGCCTAAGATTATTTGTCTGCAAAGTTTTATAACGGAAACTAACACAAAAGTGTTTTATTTTCAAAATTTTACTTTTTTTTTTTTTGTTATTTTTTTAGTCTATATAGCAAAAAAAAAAACCAGTGGTGAATAATGACCAAAAAAAGCTCTCTTTGTGTGAAAAAAATATAAAAATTTAATTTGGGTACAGTGTTACATGTCCAAGCAAATGTCAGTTAAATTAGAGCAGTGCTGAATAGCGAAACATGTCCTGGTCATGAAGAGGGTAAAACCTTCTGGAGGACAAGTAGTTAAAACAAGCAAATGTAATATTCCTTCTATCTATTCACTAATGCTAGCAGCATAAGGATTAAAAACAGTCAATGTTCAGAGACTGAAGTTCTGCTTTCACTGTAGCTTTGTAACCTCACCAACCTTCAGCAACACTTTACTTAGGCTCCTGGAAATCCTAAAGTGTCTGAGTAGGTCTAGATCCTTTGGAGTCTTGGTTCTTGTATGGAGACTTGATTGTCTTTTCTGTAGTTGCAGGTTAGGAGAAAAGGTTCTTCTCCCACACAGCCATTTCAGCACAGCAGATACAGTTGCTGCCTTGTAGATCAAAAGTCTCAGGTTGCTCCAAATCTTTGGGCGAGTTCTCCTTTCCTTAAAAAAATTCCCAGAAGGAAACCCTTGGGCAGAAGCCCAGGGGAAAGAGAAGCACACTAGAAGGTTATGCCAAACATTTACAATCCATTGACTTAGCTGCACTCTTCATTGACTGGCCGGCCTGAGTAATAACAATATTCATATTATTACACAAGACAATACAGCAACAATACAGTTCAATGCAAAAGGGTTAGGAGGGCCCTGCTCCTGGGAACTTACAATCTAATAGGGAGGGGCTGGTGGAACAAAAGGTAATAACTATGGGGGATGAACCGATGAGAGAAATAAAAGATTCGGTTATTAGCTGAAGGCGGGATAGACTTCCCTAAAGAGGTAAATTTTCAGGGATTGCCTAAAAGTGGATAGAGTAGGCAATAGCTGGACAGATTGGAGTAGGGAGTTCCGGAGGGTGGGGGAGGCTTTGGAGAAGTCTTGGAGACAAGCATGAGAGGGGAGACAAGGGAGCTAATGAGCAGGAGAGGGGCGGACAGGACGGTTTGGTTGATATTTGGAGACAAGATTGATGATGTAGCTCGAGGCAGAATTGTAAATGGATTTGCATGTTATTGGTAACGTTTGAATTTTATTCGTTGGGCAATGGGAAGCCCGTTGAGGGATTGGCAGAGAGGGGTGGAAGATATGGAACGTTTGGTAAGGTGGATGAGTCTGACAGCAGCATTCATGACAGACTGAAGAGGGGATAACCTGCGATTAGGTAGACCAATGAGGAGGGAGTTACAATAGTCAAAGCAAGAGCTAACAATATATTAACTCACAACTAGAGATGAGCAAATTATTCAAAAATTCGGTTTGGTTGATTTGCCGAATTCGCCGAAAAAAATTTGATTCGATCCGAATATATTCGCCGCAAATTTAACTTATAAAAAGGGTGTTTCTAGGCTTCAGAGAGCCTTTATATTAGTGCAGAACACTGTACCTTTAATTTAAATGCCCTTGGAGTCTGCTGGGGAAGACAAATAATACTGTCAGTCAGTATGACATGCAGATGAGTGCCGTCGATCTTAGAATCACCGCACACTTCACTCATTTGGGCAGTCACGGGGCCAAAACCAGAGTGTGGAGCCACAGTGTGGCGGTGGAGGCAGCAGCAATGGGAGGCCATACAGCACCCTATGACAAAATGGAACCCACCAGCAGTGTGAGGAGACCTGAAAGTGGCACATGGCAGAGTGTGGCGATGGAGACAGCAGCAATGGGAGGCCGTACAGGGACCCATGACACACTCTGGACCTGGCAGCAGCATGAGGAGGCGGTACAGGGGCCCATGACAGATTACGGGCCTGGCAGCAGCATGAGGAGTCGGTACGGGGGCCCATGGCAGATTACGGGCCTGGCAGCAGCATGAGGAGGCGGTACAGGGGCCCATGGCAGAGTGGCGGAGCGTAAGCAGCTAAAATTGAAGGCCATACAGAGGCCTATGTTAAAAAGTCCCCCCAGCAGCAGCGTGGGGAGACGACTAATAGTCGTCTCCCCACGCTGCTGCTGGGGGGGACTTTTTAACATAGGCCTCTGTATGGCCTTCAATTTAAGCTGCTTACGCTTCGCCACTCTGCCATGGGCCCCTGTACCGCCTCCTCTTGCTGCTGCCAGGTCCAGAGTGTGTCATGGGTCCCTGTACGGCCTCCCATTGCTGCTGACTTCATCGCCAGACTCTGCCATGTGCCACTTTCAGGTCTCCTTATACTGTTGGTGGGTTCCATTTTGTGATAGGGTGTTGTATGGCCTTCCATTGCTGCTGCCTCCACCGCCACCCTGCGCCATGTGCCTCTGTCGTCTGCTCATGCTGCTGACGGCTTCCGCTTTTTAACCGAGGCCTGTGTTTGGCTTCCGAATACTGCTGCATCCACCGCCACCCTGCGCCATGTGTCTCTGTCGTCTGCTCACGCTGCTGACGGCTTCCGCTTTTTAACCTAGGCCTGTGTATGGCTTCAGAATAATGCTGCCTACACCGCCACCCTGCGCCATGTGCCTCTGTCGTCTGCTCACGCTGCTGCCAGGTCCATACTGATTCATGGCCCCCTGTACCGGCTCCTCATGAACGTGGTTCAGCGGGTTTGCATCACTTAACGGCAAATCGTTGACAAACGCTGGGACGTTCAGTGTTGTGCGCATTAAGCCAGACACCAAAGGGCAGCACAGACCTGTTATTACTCGCTCAAGCATGGCTGAACAAAACCAGTCTCTACCACAAATTGGACCCAGACCTGCCCAGGGTCTCGTAAGTAGATTGCACGGAGGAGTAGAGTTCGTTATTGGAATTAACTGTGAGGGACTTTTAAACCTAGGCCTGTGTATGGCCTTCAATTGAAGCTGCTTCTGCTCCGCCACTCTGCCATTGGACTCTTGATAGTCGAGGACACGGCGGAAGAAGAGGTGGTAGAGGCGGACATCTTTGCTGGACCAAGGACGTGCAAACGTGGAGGCAAAAGCGGCGTGACCTGTCCAAGTTGCTGGTGCGGCTGTTCCGGCACCACGTTCACCCAGTGGGCCGTAAATGACATGTACTGTCCCTGACCGTAGTTACAGCTCCACACGTCGGCGCTGCCGTGCACTTTGGCAGAGACCGACATGCTCAAAGACTGGCCCACCATCTCTTCTACATGTGAATGCAGGGCTGGCACTGCCTTTTTGGTGAAGAAATGCCGGCTTGGCACTCTCCACCGCGGCTCGGCACAAGCCATCATTTCTCGGAAAGGTGCTGAGTCCACCACTTGGAAAGGGAGGGACTGCAGCACCAGCAACTTGGACAGGAGGACGTTCAGCTTCTGCA